CATCTTAACTACACTATTAACCTGTCCTTCTGGCTCAGGGATCTGTGGACAAGCACCCCAAGATTCCTTGGTTTCTTTGAACTTCCTAGTATCCTACCATTCATCGAGTACTCCCTTGTACTATTACTTCTTCCAAAAGTGCATCACCTCACGCTTATCAGGGTTAAATTCCATCTGCCACTGATCTGCCCATCTGACCAATTTGTTTATATCCTCCTGCAACCTAACATCTTCCTCCTCACTGTCAATCACCTGGCCAATCTTTGTGTCATCACAGACTTACTTATCATCTCACACACATATTCTTTTCTATCATTTATGGATACATGTCAGCATCTCGCCTGAAAAATGGCACTTGCAACAATGCAGCACTTTCCAGGACTACACTGGAAGTGTCAGCCTAGACTTTGTGCCCAAGTTACTGATCTGGGACTTGAACCCATAACTTGATACCTCAGTAGAGAAAGCTACCCCACTGAGTCAAGACTGCCTTCTCATACTGGCACATGGGACAGTGACCATAAGTGCAAACCATTGCTGTTAACTTTTCCATGTTTGGATTTGAGTCCTGAGACTGATTGCTGGATTTACAAACTGCTCCCTTGGGTAATACAAGCTGATTTAACAGATTGTAGGTATTAACCATGACTCAGCATGTTGCATCTCATCTCTAAAGTTAGAAGGTTGTGGGTTTGAGGCCTGTTTCAGGAACTTGAGCACATAATCAAAGCTAACACTTTAGTGTGGCAATAAGTGAGTGCTGTGCTTTTGGAGGTGCTATCGTTTGGATATGATTTTAAAACCAGGTCCCCATCTTCGCCCTTGAATGGATTTCATCGCGATATGTTGTGGTGGTGTTTTCTCATGTCCCGGAGAAGTATTTTCCATAACCACCATCAATAAAACAGATCATAAGGTTGTCTGATGAAGGGTCTAGGCCCGAAACATCAGCCTTTCTGCTCCTATGATGCTGCTTGGCCTGCTGTGTTCATCCAGCCCTGCACCTTGTTGTCTCATAAGGTTATGTGTTTCTTTGCGTTGTATGTGAGCTTCCTGTGCATAAATTACCTGCTGTGCTTTCGACATTACAACATGACCACACTAACAACAGAAGCACTTCACTACATCTGTGATCAGGGACAACAGGAAAATGTAATTCCTTTTCTTTTTATTCAGGTTGGAAATTGAGATTTTCCTGTTTGGTGGAATTAAACACATTATATCTATGTTGATTCAAGAAATAGTTCTGATGCTGTCTTTGGTCCCTGTCTTAGCACTACGCTGGCTGTGGAAGTAAAGGAAATAGCTTGCAAAAGTGGGCTATAAGGGTCAGAAAATCTGGCAAGAACTATAGGCAATTTTTCCTTCTTGTTATTTATTTATCTAGTGACAGCACGCCATCTGTGTGGCCAGCTCCTAAAGCATATTGCATGTGAGGCCATGACATATTCCAGTTGCCAGGAACTGAAGGGAGGTGGCTACGCTGGGATGGGGATTGGTGAACCTTTGGATCCACTTACTAGGATGATATTGAAAGTAAGGCAGTTTCTCAGCTCAGAACTGTTATAAGTGTGGAAATATGAGAAGTGTTATTCCAGGGTGCAAGACCACACATACTGAGTTGAGAAGTTGGGAGTGGAGCTGAAATGAATTGCACAGAGTTTTAACTCTTACAATACCAGTCCCAACTAGGAGTGAGTGTCAGCACCAACAGAGATTAAAGAAGACTGATGTGACTTGTATTTCTATGGCACTTTTCATGATAACAGGATGCTCCAAAATGCTTTGCAGCCAGTGAAGTGTAGTCACTGTTGCAATGTCAGAAACACTGCTGCAACAACAACCACCAAAAACCAGAAATTTGACACGAAGCAGATAAACTATTTCAGTGATGTTTGGCAATGGTGAATATTGGTTAGGACACAGGGAAAAACTCGTCTACTTTTTCTTCAAAATTAGATCTTTACGAATACCCAAGAAAGTAGACAGGGCCTCTATTTAATGTTTTAATGTTATGTCTGAAAGATGGCACTTCCAACAGCGCTGCATTCCTTCAGTACTGCACTGGGCAGTCTGGGCATTGTTGCAGCGAGACATGGCACAAGCATTGCAATTGGATTCAACATGATCAATCAGGAAAAGTAGTAATTTTTTTGTTGCACTTTTTGTGATGTCCAATTTGAATTGTTTTGCAATGTCACTCTGGATGTTTTGTGAATATATGATACTCTTTGACTACAAAAACAGAAGCATGGGTACATGGACTAGCTGTACCCTACAGGCTATTCCCAGGCAAACCCTCCAAGACAAACACCAACTGCTGCTTGAGGATCATCAGCTCCGTAAAAGATACTCTTTAGTCTGTCAGAAACTTGTTGGTCATCCAGTGCAAAGATTTGTTTGTGACTGAATGTTGCAGACTGGCTCATTCCAAGTACTGGGACTAAGCGCTGAGGAAGATGTTAAAGCTTAAGGCAGCTGCATGCTAGTCATTAAATATGTACAGGAAATGTCACTTGTATGGCAACTGCACTGTGCCATCCACGAGTGCAACAAACTCTTTTGGAAAAATTTTTTTTATTTACATCCGACTCAAAATGTCTTTGAACGTACTTTCCTCAAGATGGCAGTGGCGGAATAGGCAGTGTCTGGTCTCTTGAGGCCCAGCCTTGCCCATTCTATCCGCCTTTCTTTCTCATCTCCATTTCTCATTTTATTTCTCTCTTCTTTAGTTTTTTAGTGTTTTTTCTTATCTTCTGGAGAGAGCTTGGTCATGGAGGCAGCAGCGGTGATGGAGCGTGGTAGCGGTGGCAGAGGGTGGCAGAGGGTCCAACATGAACCTGGATGGCATTCAGCAGCTGAAGGGCAGGTGAGCCCAGGCGGGACTTAGCCCAGTGCAGGTGAAAACGTGCCCAGCACGGCTTGGGGGGGGGGGGGGGGGGGGGGGGGGGGGGGGGGGGGGGGG